AGAAGATGGGGATATGGTGGCTGGACCGATGAAAAGACACTAGAAGGTTTGCATTTCGCTAATGATAACTGATGTCAAATGTTGCACAAACTTGAAGATCTACAGGCAGAAACAAACAAGTTGGCAGAAGAGGCGTGGTAACGAAGACGGGACTTCAGGTGGACATGGAGAAGACAGAAGTGATAAAAATACCCAACCAACAACAACAAGCACCATTCACTACCAACAGGAGAAATCTAAAGGAAGTTGTCTCTTTCACCTACCTAGACAGTATCGTTTCAACTATAGGCGGCAGTGGCGGTACAGATGACTATTTCAAAGCCGGGATCGGAAAAGCAAGACAGGCCTTCATTAATCTGAAATCAGTGCGGAGATCTACTGCACTCAGCATAATGCGGGAACAACATCCTGATTTTCAACACTAAGTCAGTCAAGTAAGTGCTTCTATATGGTTCAGAAACTTGGCGCGTTATGAGAAGCATTTCCAACTAACTGCGGACATACATCATCAATAGATGTCGCCTACGCTCGCTCACTCGATACTGAAGATGAGATCAGATGGCCAGAAAGAATAAGCAACAAGGAACTCTGGCTGGTAACGAACCAACCAAGGAGACATTACCCAACAAATATAAAGAAGAAAGTGGAGATGGATTTGGCATACACTGAGAAAACCATTCGGGGACATCACGCGTTAAGCCAGGCCATCGAGTGGAATCCAAAGGGGAAACGAAGAGTTGGATGTCCAAGGCGAGGGTGACGTGGAGGAGTTGGTGCAAGGAAGAAATGAAAGCTTATTGGCAGTCGTAGAGCCAGGTTGAAGACTTTAGAGAAGAGAGTGAAATGGAGATGTGCTACTGAAGCCCTATGTTCCACTACAAACCCAAGGGACAAGTAATCATAATGATAATAATACTAATAATAATAGTACTAGCAATAGTACTAACAATAAGGATTTATACGATCATTTTTAGTGGCGCTTTCTCATTGGTTAGTCGTTAGCTGGCCTTGCAAAAGGATCAGTGTCTATGCACAACTGTTTCTGCAATACCATGTGATTAAAGAAAGTTATAGTAGGATCATGTAGCATATTATAGTTATTCAGCCAAGAAAAGTATAGGTGATTCAGATAACAACATGCCTTTTTATCATCATTTTGTTAACATTTTGGGAGTTACATTTCTTTCTGTTTTCATCGTATCCTATAGTAAGTAATTGGTATACGAATGAGCTGCCATTTAGTTGAAATATGTTAATGATTTACTGGTTGTTTGGAGGCACTCGATAGGAAGCCCTGCTTCACCTTAGTTTTGTACTTGGTAGCACTTGTTAGTAAGGCAGGTCTGCTACCTATAGGGAAATGGTGCCACATGGGTGGTTTGAACCCACGTCACTCAGTGTTACAGTCAGAAACGTTGCGACTTTACCAACCCAGTCACGATTTACCTCCTGTAGAATAAGCTTGGATACAATAACTTGTCACTAGAGAGCGACCAACTTCATGCTGCCTAGTCCTGAGTGCTGGAAGACATGAGAAACCATTTTTTGCCACGTGAAACTTTCATGCTTAAGTCAAGGTTTGTTGTAGTATTATGACACAGTGGTGACTTCACACTTTCATGGTTCAAGTCTAATAAGTAATGAAGACTGCCGGTAGTTCTAGATAGTAATTTAATAGCGCATGAATTTCACTGGTGTATTTCCTTCTTTCTCAATACTTGGAGGTTCTGAGTTTGACCCCTGGAAGAGTCGTGGGTGCGCACTGTTGAGGGGCTCCGTGGTAGGATGGGACAGCCATCCAATGTTCCTTGCACTTTTTCAGTGGTTCTCCAATTGATGTCAGTCCATGATGAATACAAACATGAAATCAATAAAATTGAAATGTCTAAAACATTCAACAACTGTCCAAGTATCTAGAGATCATTTCCGAAACAAACAAACAACGTGTTTTAATAAATAAAATCGTATATATTTCATCTTCTCCGCTAGTTACCAAGGTGGGTATGACCAGTTGTGTATATGCCTCAGTCTGTATGCCATATACTTACCTACCAGCTATGATAAAACTAGATGAAGTCTTTCGACAGTCTAGTGTCCTATTCCCAAACGCATTAAACATATGTTTTAAGGATGTTCAGCAATCTCATGTATTATATCAGTTAGTGAACTAACTTGTCAGTGATATATTCAAGTATTTATCATAGTTATATCGATTACAATAACTTTAGTTCATGTGGTTTGAAGTCTACTGACAACAGACTGTTTAATAGGAAGCATATGGACTAAAAACAGTGGCGTTAAAACTCTAAAGTCTTGGGAATATATAAGTTTACGAGCACGTAGACACAATTTTTTTTATCTTATTTGTATTTTTCTGTTGTTTATTTTATTGAACCCAATTGCTTGATCTGTTTTTCTGCATAGTCTTTTAGAATGAATGCCTGAAAGGTGATTCGGTAGCAGAGATATTGAAAAATCTGATGTTCAAATCGCTGATGAGGACATTTTCTCTACTCAACTACAGATCAGTTTCCCTAGTCGACAAACTGTTTCGCGGTGTGTTAAGGACAAGCTGACGCCTTGGACCATTCTGATATGTGTCTACTAACCTTCACGGAGATAGTTACACAACCCACACAAAACATGCAATTTTCAAACTTATGTTCTAGTATTATTCCACAGGATTGTTGAAGGGAGAATGTAAATCAACTGATAGTTCAGTTCTTGAATACTTGATCAATTTTAGTCTTCATTCATCGTCATACACAAAGGCAAAAGGGGTACACTTTCGAAACTTTTGCACGGCAGAATCACCGGGAATTCATCAATTTAAGCCCGATTTCTACGTCCACAAGAGGTATGCTCAATCCATCTTTCTATTGTCTTAACTCTCCACACTTTTTTCCTTTCCTTTTCCGATTTCGTTATGATTACTTACTCTACTATAATCACCTTCATTAAGACCATCATTTCTTTTGTGAGCTTCTTTACGTCTGTGGATGTAAACACTCAACCTCTATATTACCCATCTACCAAATGTTTTAATCTTGCCAAACTCCTTGCCTTTCTTGTTATTTCAGTTGTAGGATAGATTATTATGTAACTCATCTCCACTCTTTGTCGCAGTTTTACGACTAGCCTAATGATGTAAAGGTAACCTCATTTTTCAATAATAAACTGTTATAAATTTGTGATGTATATGAATACTAGTGTCGTATAGTTTTGTTCTCTGAATTACTTTTTCTTTTCTTTATGAGTTATTAGGGATTTTTTACTGTCTCGATATTGCTGGATGTCCCATTAAGATGCAGGTTTCTTGGTGGTGGTTTGTAGTGGAACCAAGGATGTCAGTCCAGTACTATTTGAGACCAGTCAGCTGATTGCATCTGTGTACAAGAAAATGACGTTGTTACAGCACAATTTCATTATTTTCCAAAATATCAATTTAATCAAGATATTTTAACTCACCATGATGACATTTTCGAGCTTTGCTCGGAATTCAAAATTTTACTCTAATCATCAACTAACAAGTAAAATCATTTTACTCCTAGTCATCATAAACAATCCTTATCACTCGAATGAGCAGAAACCGAACTCCATTATTTTTCATTTTTCTGTTGTGTTATGTCGATGATTAGTTTGGTTAGTCATTAGGGAGTACACTATACAAATCGATCTTAAAGACTAACAGAGGAATCCAGAATGTGTGTTTCTTCCTATTTAGAACTCGTCAGCTAGTTGTGCCTGCACCCCAGTGAGTGGTGTTTTTCCCACTAGGACTCGAACCCAGTACCCTTCCCCAAACTAAGCAAAAATGGGAACGATAGCCACCTCTTTTGCCACTGGGCTCACTTGATATTATGATACTTGTAATTTCCTGTTGCAATACAGGGTGAATCGCTCGAAATTACAAGTATCATAATATCAACTGAAGCCCGTGCCAAAGGAGATGGATATTGTGTCCCACCTGATTAGTGGTGTTTGAAGCGGACACTGGGTTCGAGCCTCAGCGGGAACAAAATCACTCACCGAGGTGCAGGTACATCTAGCTGACAAGTCCTGAATATGACCAAAACGTGCATCCTGGATTCCCCTACTAGTTACCAGGATGAATATAACACTATGAATACTCAGCAGTATCAAGGCATCCTCATGGGAGCCCATCTGCCAACAGAGGTAGGGCAGTTCAGCCCTGTATAGCAACGGGAAACTACAAGTATCATTACAACAAGTTCTGTAACTTTATTCTGGATCATTCCAGAGGAAATGATCCCGATGATATCCCATCTGTGTTGTAGTATACAGATATCATATCTAATATGATAAAGGTTACTAACAACTAAGCTCATTCTGTATTTTCTTAGACTACATAGAATAAACCCTAACAGCAACAATACATAAGACTGAAAGGAATTTGCTTTTTGTTGTTTGTTCAAAATGCCCTTAGATGCTGGTTAATAATAAGGCTTCTAACTCAACACACCAGATGGACACACAACGAAGGGAAACACAGGCCTAAATGGAGAAAAGGGATAAATGCGGTATTTATCACAGACTGACATCAGTCGGAGGACCACTGGGGATCTGGAAGCTCTGGAAAGTATCTTCGTCTTAATATAGGATTCCTTAGCAGTTCACATCTATGACTCCATCAGGAGTTGAATCCGAGATCTTTCGGTTTAGAGGCGAGCACGTCACTAATGAGCCACAGGATTGGAATTTTATGGTTCGTATTCTCCTGCTTTTTTCAATTCTCGCCCACTGAGAAGCTTGAAGTTCTTAGGTTTGATATCTAGTATGGATGAAGGTGGTCACTGCTAAGACTTTTCACACTGGGACGAAACAGCCGTCCAGCGCTCCCAGGTCCGTGAACAGTACCACCCTCGAATAAGAATACGCGCCTTAAAAAAAAGCGCGAAAATGAGGGTTTAAATTTTTCGAAATATTAAGGCTTCTTAACACCAGTTAAGTGATAAATATTTGTTCATTTAGCATAAAAAATGATTTTGTATTTAAACGAAAGTAAAATCGAATATGATAATAGAAAACAGACTCTACTTTTAACACGAAAAAATCTGTCATCATCATCTGCTTTATTTGCGTTAAGTGTCAAAGTTTCTGCACAAACAAACAGAGAATCAATAAACATGGTTAATAAACAAGCAAATATGAGTAAATGTACAAAAATGCGGTCATTCCGTTTTACATACATGCTTCATCGTATTATGAACGTATTCATTAGCATTTTCCTTCTTCGATCGTCTTTTAAATCATTCTACTTGCCTTTCAAATCATTAATTTATTTTATAAATGATGTGTATTCATTGAAAAGAGATGAATTTGCCATGGTTTACTAGGTGAGCTCTTAATGAGTGGAGTAGTGATTGAAGTCGTAATAAAATCTTTGATCTGGACATGATTCTTATCCTACTATGACTCATTGATCTAGAGAATTAAATTTCAACCATTTGGTCAAGGGTTCACAGACCGCTCCACCTACTGAGTTTTGCGCAGTCATATGGTAGAATCATTAGCCATTACACCATAGGTATGGCTCATTGACTAATGCCCGAATTTGCAGAAGGTTGCTGAGTGCACTTCGACTTCGTGGCCAACTAAGGCTTGGTAAATGTTTCACCATCACTCTAGCCATCTTCATTAGTGAAACTTGATTAATTAGATGTAATTATTTGATGATAGATGAGTATACATGGTAGACTGTTCATAAACAAACTTGAGGATAGCCAGCTGAACATAGTTTATCTAGATGAAGGCAATTGACGAAAATGTACTCCCAAAATATTACAGACGATGTTGTTCTGACGTGAATGCCAGATGCTGTTTTTCTCAATACTTTAAGAGTCTCTTTGCATCATAACTGTCCCAGCTTCTTACTTGGAAGAAGAAGCATAACTGTTCACTACTGACGCTGAATTTATGATCACCAGTCCCATCACAATCTAGGTTTGCTTTAACGCTAGACTATTACAAACTAGCAAGCTTACTTTGTGACTACAGACTTACATAGATTGACTGGATGATCAAGAATATCCAGATAGAAGATGGGAATTCAAGGTTAAAAGTATTCGATAATCTTGCTGTCCCATGTATTTATCACAATAAATATTTACTGGATAGAGAAACTCAAGCCACAAGTCAGAAAAATCGATGAAATAAAACTTTTTCTTTCTCAGTTAAGTAACCGTAGGTTGTCAAAATCTAACAGAAAACCAGTCAACTTTGTAGAAATAAACAATTGGCAGACCTTGGTAACACGAGAACAAACACATTTTTCGAAAATAACAACAATTTGAATATGAAACCTATCAAAATGTTACAAAGTAAATAGGAGAGAAATAAATCATCAATTCAAAAACCCACACATTTTAATTCATGTGGGAAAATGATCATGGTTACAGTTAGATAATCAGTAAATGAAGAACTTATTCATTATTTATTTTTAACAAAGATTTTTTCACTGCCAAACAAATAATAAAGTGGTAATCATCGTGGAGTGACATCAGTTGGAGAACCAGTGAAAACCTAGGTGGAGCACTGGGCATTTGTCGTGTCCTAGTATGGGACTCCTCAGTGGCGAGCACCGACGACTTCACCTGGGATCAAATCCAGGACTGTCAATGAATGCGTTTACCATTCAGCTACTGAGTCGCAGTTTTCACCGCCCCGTGGTTTCCGAATACTCTTCAGAAATAATTACAACAATTTTGGGTGAATAGTAATTAGAGATTATTGAACAAGTGTTTTGTCTCATTTTTGATATATTTTGAAGTGCTTGACTTTGAGGACTTATATCATCTTAATCTAGGTATTCAGTCCTCACAGTGAAATGATAACTTGGAGGTTTGCTTAGGCTTCGTCAACTGATAATTTTAAATTCCACTCAGTTCTCGACGTGACACAAACAACTATTAATTTGATCGATGAATGTATACCCGAATCACTGATTTGACTAGCTCCCCAGATCACTAACAAGCGAGTGAACGGTCATATATTCACTACAGGAATGGAAGGTTTTTTATTTTCTGTTGTAAAACATTTGCACCGCCAAGAAGTCATTAAGGTGGACAAAACAACTAGTAAATACCCCCAAAGGTCTTAACGTTTATTTAATTTATATCAGACTGTGATGTGTACAGTCTGCAAATCGATATTAGTAAGTTAACTAACAGCAAACAAGGTCTCTCGGGTAGTTAATCCACTGTGGAACTGTGATCCACTGATCTAAAGGTCGATTTCCAGCCAACTTTTCACCGATTCAAATCACCTTCCATACACCGAGATTTGAACAGTTCTCACAGTAGGTGAGATTCAATGTCTAATTCACAAGTTTGTATATCATTGCGGAGTTATTTATTAACGCACTTTACTGGAAAAATTAACACCTTAAAAGAAGATTATGCCATCAAAATTTACAAAAGTGACTACCAGAAACCAAATATTTTGAAGTAATTTAGTGCCTAACCACCTAATCCACTCATAGTACTTGATTTATTTCAATCCTAGTCTACTAATCATGCATCTCAACTTCTTCCACAGATGTATACAAGAGTTCTGAAGGAGAAGGTAGTTAACTTCTTAAAGTTATCGTGGAGAGACTGATGCAGTTTTGGAATGTAAATACTCCTTAAATTAGTCAACACTGTGTGCTGAGTACAATTTAAATTGGATATTGTTGGCGCTTATCCTACCTAATATAAACTTTGTTATTAACTATCGTATCCAGTGGGTGGAAGAGCTTTCAGAGTTCGAATATATTGGTTAGTGGATTCATACTACTAGTCTAAGTCACCGTATAAGTAGCACAATACAATATAAGATACTACTAAATCTTGATCAGCGTGGAGATTTCGTTACGGTAAATACAGTGTCACTGAAGATGAAATTTCATTGACCAAATAAAGCTGTTTTTTCTAACTTGTGTATGTGCAATTGTCAGCCACCATCTTTCCACTTTTACAAAGTTAGTGAATTCGGTGTATCATGAAAGCAAGGAGAAATGTTACTGATTTATCAATAACTACTACACACCTCTCGGAATAGATGCAACTGAAATGTTCAAGTTTGATGGAATAAAGTGATTTATGCCTTACAACATGCTTTCAATTCAAAGACAAACTCCACAAACAGACAAAGGGAACACCAGTGGAATCGCATGTATTAGGAGTAAATACGGAAGTAGTAATGCAAAGATGGTAAGCTGTGGTATTGCCGCTGATCAAACTAAAACATTGCATCCGATATGTAGATGATATGTTTGTCATCATTAAAGGAAACCAAATGGAAAACGCTTACAAACTAATCAACAACAATTTCGATGACATGGAATTCACAACTGAAGAGGAATCAAACAACGAACTTGTGTTGTTAGGTGTTCTCATCACTAGAAATGATTCGGGGAAATAGGAAACTGAAGTATACAGAGAACTAACTCATACGGATCAAATCCTTAACTAGAATAGCAACAACCAAACAGCACACAAAATCGCCTGGAAAAAAACACTTCAAAACAGTGAAAGCACACTTATGTACATCAACGTTGCAAAAAAGAAAACTACTTAATGACTGTTTTCCAGAAGAAGGGCAATCAATACGACTTCAACGATAGATGTCTACATAACTCGTCGTCAAGGAAGATATCAACCTTGAAAACCAACACACAACTTGTCCTACCATGCAGGAAGAGCGTCTCCTAAGGCAGAAATAGATTATTAACATAAGAAACACTATTCAATTTTCACTACAGGTGCAAAATATCCACCGGTTTCATCAGCAAAGTTCTGATCTCTACACTAAGTAGTCGTTAAACTCTTTTTAGAACCAAGACTGTCAGTGGTGCCATTCCAATTTTAAGCTATGATGATGATGATAAATCATCTAGCAGTGAAATGCGTTAATTTGAATGTGCATAGTTTTTGAACAAGCCTGTTGAGTAGTTGTCATAAGCGGTTTAGCTAAATAACTTTATGGTAAAGTCGCTGAGGGATATGGCTTCGAATGTCCAAGAGAATAAAAGTGTTTTTATTGAAGGTTACAAGTAAGGATTACTGATGAGTGTTGGAAGGCGCGAAAAGTGTGCGAAATCTTGCAATATCATGTACTATGTTATGACTTGTTATTCAGTATATAATACTGCTCATAGATTGGTTATCAGTGGAAAATTAATGTAGCTATCTAGACCTGAGTGTGCAGCACCGACTGGAGTTTACCGACTGAGTTAGCAGTGCGGTCACGAAGCTAAGTTATGTGGTACTGTAGTGTGGTGTATTTTGGTTTTAGGTGTTAGCAGTCTGTCGTCACGAATTTATTGATCTACGCTTCATGCTTAATAGGGCTCATCAGAATGTTTTTTCTGCAAACATGACAAGATTGGTTTTGAATTGTTAATTGGGATCTGCATCACTCATTGCTGAAGTCACAGACTTGTTCATCAAGGTATTTCAGTCACAGCTGACCTCCTTCTCTTAGACTGGATTGGGTACACAAGTGGGTAACCAATGTGACTGCCCAGTGCTCACCGAAATCTTCTAATCAAGCTCGAGATGTGACCACTGACCTAAGTGACTCGACAATACAATACACTGTACTCAAGTGCCAACTAACAAAAAAATATTACTGGATCACTATGTAGAGAATATTGACGTGGGATGAAAATCTACTACAGTCCAGTTTGTAAACTTTTCAGCCCAGCTTCCTGCTGACTGATACCTCTTGCCCTATGGAATCAGAAGTATCACTGGAGATGAAGCTGTGACTGAAGCTTTTACAGATAATGAAGGTTTATAAAAGACAATTCAGCAAAGAAAATTTCTTTACGATGAATCATTTTCAAAAGCTGTACTTCGTATCCATAGTTACAGCAAAATATACATGTCCATCAATGGCAAATGGGTCAGTACAAGGTCATCAAAAACCGTTAGTAAAGTTACAGAGTGATAACAACTGGAAGGTCAAATCAAGGTCATCAGTTGTCCCCTATATGATTATGGTGAGCAAGCGCATATGAATAAACTGTCTTAGAGAGATTAAGACCAAGGCAAAATCAGAGATTGGGTGTATCTTTTTCGAACACAAAGAGCTGCCTAGTAATGCTGGATTGCTAAAGCTTCTGTCGTGTTGAGGTGGAGAATACGCGCTCACTTCGAAATGTTTGCCTTCACTTTATAGATAACTTTGAAAGAAGACTCTCATGGAGCACAGTGACCAGAAATAAGGAAACGCTTAAGAATCGAGATGTTGACAGCTTTGCACAACCATGCAGGATAGTATTCGGAGATGTGTTTGGATCGAACATGCTCCACGTGACCTACGTAATCAGATCCACAAGAGCAGATGAATT